AAAGTTGCAGCTGCAGATCACGTGATGTGTTTTCTCTCCCATCCGCCTTCCCGTTTGGTGTGTGAAATTCATCAAGGAGCTCTCTAGTCTCAGCTGGAGTAATTACTATAATAATTGTCTTCAAGAATATCAGGTGCTTCCACCATGACAAGCAGCATAAACCAGGGATTTGTTCCAGAGTTAGAACAACCGAGCACGCAGCATGACATGAAGTATGCGCTGACCGCGTGGCATGAGACGGAAGAGTGACGCAGGAGCTTCCTCAACCTAGTAACTGGTTTTTCTCCTGGGATTCTTTCTTTCCTTTTTTTTTTTTTCTTTTCCCCCCCAATGTAGCGGCTGCATTTCAGCAAGGGAAAATCCCACCTACACCGTTTTCGGCACCACCTCCGGCAGGAGCCATGATACCACCTCCTCCCAGCATCCGTAAGTCTGAACCGGATGGTTTTTACCTGGGCTGGCAGCCCTCTTTAGTGGTGTTGCACATTTCCTGGACTTGTAAAGAAAAGTTCTTTTAGCTTGAAATCAAGCTAAGATGTTTTGAGCTTGTGAATACCAAAATGTAGAGAATGCTTTGTAAGAGCGTTTCAGCAACACTCTTAACCTTTAGTTTGTCTTATTTTAGCAATGTTGAGTACATTAATAGAAATGTGTGCTTCCTCGTTACTTGGTAGCTGCCATGGAGCTAGCTTCATTAAAACTTCCAGCACGGAGTTTGGTTCTGTTTTGTTTTTTAAATAGAGTAGGATTGATAACCTTTTGCACTTCAGCTGGCAAATGGCTGAGAATCCTTTCTGCTTCAAGTCCTTTACAGGTCCCTTCCCACCCAAACTATTCTATGATTCTATGAAGTGGTAGTCATCTGCATTAGGTACACAAAGTTGGAAATAAGAGGTAGCGTATTCTTTCTCCAGTTCACTTTTTGACACCTGAAGTCGGAGGTGAAACTGAAAATGAAGGCAGACAGTTGTAAAACAATCTAAGGCACCTTAGTTACTAAAACGTCCTATAAAATTTAGGAAGTGTTTTGCATTGCACGCTGTTGAATAATGTGAAAGCAGCCAGATGTGTAACCAATGTGTATCTGTGTTCAGCTGGCCCCCCGCGGCCTGGCATGATGCCGGCCCCTCACATGGGTGGGCCACCGATGATGCCAATGATGGGCCCACCCCCACCGGGAATGATGCCGGTCGGACCCGGTAAGTCTGGAAATGGGTAAATCTCTGTAACTGCGGTACCGCGCGGTCTGGTTTGCGGGATGCTTGGGTTATATTTTCTGTCTCATTGGGCAGTAAAGGATTGTGAAATGAACTCGGTGGGAAATGTGAAGCAGCTGCGGTAGCTGGGTGCTAGCTGTAGTGGTGCACTCTACTCTATTGCTCGCGTTGCTTTAGACGTCACACTCGGCACAGCATGGATGGACAGCCCCAAGTGTCAAGCTGTGGAAGTATTTCAGTTTGCATGTACTACATACGCACTTTTGCTGATGCCTTATTTCTGCATGGTGAGGCATCTTACAGCTGCTAATTAAATTTCATTTAGTAGTTACTAGTAAAGAGTTACTGGCTCTTCTGTACAACAAATTATCGCTCTGGTAAATTGTAGCTTTTCTACCTCTAGTCTTAGCAGTACGATACATAATTGTTCAGGAATTCTGTATTTGTAGTGCTTATGTTTTTGCATAAGGGGTACATTTCAGCACTAGATTAATTTTATTGTTTAAAATGTCTTGAGATAATGTGTTCTAGAGAAACACTGTGCCTTAAAAAGTTTTTTTTCAGAACTGCAAAGGCAAACTAAAATGTCTTTGATCCATTCCACTTTTGAGCTTACTGGCATTTGAAGAATTCTCGGAGGACGTCTTATTGAAGCAGTTACTGGAACAAATCTAAAGGAATACACACATGCACACTAGAAGTAGTGAAGTGTATTTGCAATTGTTGTCTTGCTGGTAGAAACAGTTCTTTAGATGTTTTTGAAAGGCACAAGTACATGCATAATCTGTGATATTAGGCAGTGTAGCGGCTGCCTGAAAATAAATGGAGAAGTTGGATGGAAACCATTATTTCAATGCTTTTTAGTAGAGCACCTGATTTGCTTCGGTAGTGCTGTTACCCAGCCGTAAGAAGTACACCGGTCTTGTCTTTTTTTTTTGTTTTGTTTAACACACTTAACTGGATGATTTCACACTTTTTTCCAAATGAACTTTCCAATGTGGTAATTAAGCTAGTGTCTCTTTTGAGCGGTTGAAAATAATTTAACAGTGAATATTGTCAAAAGTGGGCGTATAACCTGGGAACTTGGTTCTTCCTTTGCTAATTGCTAATATCCTTCAGGGAAATGTAATCTGTCGCAGCCAGCTTCCAGATCAAAGCTTACACGCTTTGTAAAATGAAAGTTCCCTGGAGGGTGGAAGGGAGAACCTGAACGCTGTATTGTTGTGACTCGGGCGTTGCTACTCCCGAGAGCTCTTTGCTAACGTCCTCTCTTTCCCCTTGCAGCTCCAGGGATGAGGCCACCGATGGGAGGACACATGCCCATGATGCCAGGGCCCCCAATGATGAGGCCACCCTCCAGACCCATGATGGTGCCAACCAGGCCGGGAATGACCCGTCCAGACAGATAAAGGTGGAAATGGAGCTACCTTTTCTTTTTCATATTACTATCTTCCGTATGATAAAATACCATAGCCCGATGTCCCTAGGATTTTGTATTAAAACAGTGTGTAGAGGAGATATGCTGTCACGTCAGACTGCAGACGGTTTGACCTAGATGCACACTGGACTGATGCTTTTGTACCTGCTCTGGTTTTGGGTGTTTTTTTTGGTGGCATATTGTTTGTTTTTTCCTCCCCATTGAGTTGTAAAACACAACAATAAACCATTGATGCTCGTTTACATACAGAGAATCTGAGCCTTACTCTGTGTGGGGGTTTTCTGCCTGGCAGAAAGAGATGTCAGTTTTCTTTGTTCCCTCTCTACCTCTCTTGCACAGAATTTTTCAGGGCTTTTTTTCCCCTTAGTCCTTAGGTAGTCTCTCTTTTTCATGTCATACCACTGGAGAGATGTATTACTACCTGCATTTTGAATTGTTGTTTCAAAACAAGTATGTGGATTTTTATAAAAAAACAAACAAAAAGGTGACATCAAAGACTGCAGTGGTATCTCTGACTGGGGAGACTGCAACCTTAAGTGACTTTACTAGCACACAATAGGATGAACTTATTAAAATGTTGATCCTTCACTGAGGGAAGCAAAGAGGTGCTGTTAAGAGGCTACTTCTTACAGTAATTGTTTGGAAGCCTCCAAACACATTTCTGCTTTTCTATCGCTACTGGGGCATTTGCATGGACACGTTTAATTACGTTATTGGAGTTGTTGAGTCAGTAGTTATTAACGCTCGGTTCCCTTCTTAGCATAAAGGGATCTGTTATTGAAGACATATCCCAGGCCCTTTAGTTTATTGAAAGGATTTTGCCTTTGAGGTGAGCTGTACGTAATGCAGGTGCACAATTCCAATTGAATTAAAAGAATTTAATCTGTTTGCACAACCGGCTGCTCTCTGCATGTCAGTTTTCATCCATTTCAGTCTGCAGACCTGTCCAGCTCATTCTTGACATGTTTGCATCTAATATGAAAGTGTGAGAGTGATTTGCATCTTACAAGAAAGCGTTTGGTTAGCAGAACTGCCAGGGCTCCTTTTCTGAGTTGCTATCTGCTGTGGGACAGGACAGTCCAGTCATTTAGAGGAGATTGTATTTCATAGAATCATGGAATGGTTTGAGTTGGAAGGGACCTTGAAGACCACCCAGTGCCACCCCCTGCCCTGGGCAGGGACACCTCCCCCCAGCCCAGGTTGCTCCAAGCCCCGTCCAACCTGGCCTTGAACATCTCCAGGGATGGGGCAGCCACAGCTTCTCGGGGCAACCTGCCCCAGGGGCTCACCACCCTCAAAGTGAAACATTTCTTCCTAAGATCTAATCTGAGTCTCCCCTCTTCCAGTGTCAAACCGTTCCCCCTCGTCCCATCACTCTCCTCCCTGATCCAGAGTCCCTCCCCAGCTCTCCTGGAGCCCCTTTAGGCACTGGAAGGGGCTCTGAGGTCTCCCCGGAGCCTTCTCCGGGCTGAACAACCCCAGGACACTGTGTACCTTCAACAATCTCCTGTAAATGTGGTGTAGCTGAGACATCAAATATTTAATAGCTCAATATTTAATAGCCATGCTCAACAAACATTGAGATGATGCAAAAGTTAGCGAATGTTTCTGCAGCAAACCATAGCAGGAGTGGATGGCTGCAGCACGCAGCGCTGCCGACACAGGGGATCCTGGTGCTCTGGAATTCCCTGTGTCTGGCAGTGAAGGGATTGCAGTGCAGCTTGGTCTCCCGCATCGCTCATGGAGTAGATTGCAAGGAGCTGAAATGATGGTACCAACGCTTATCTTGGAAGGTGAATGTGTCTCCCTGGTCAATAGTCTGAGTGGTTTTTTCAGCTTTATGTCAAAGCTGGATTGCTGTTACATCAAATACACGGCATACACCATTGATACGTAGGAGTGACTTTCTCCTGGGGAAGAAAATAGGCAGGAGTTAATGATGAGCAGCACTGGGCTTTGATAAAAGTTCAAGGCTCATGTGCCACTGGGTTCCCCTGCCTACTGTCAGATTAAAAACAAACTCAGTAAAGCACAAAGCACGTGGTTTTCTTGCTGTGGGGCTGTTGAAAGCATGAGTGGTCCGTGCTGCCGGGGTGTGCCGTGCCTGCGGAACAGCGTGACCGCATGCGTGGGGCTCCCCTTGCCCAGCACAGCTGCGAAAGCAGCGCGCTCCCTTCTGATCCCAGCTGGAATCTCGCACAGCGCGTGAAATGGTCTAATTCAGTGTCATCCACCCGGGTTGCGATGCAAATTTGTGCAGAAACTGCTTGAAAAGATTAGTTTATTTTCATTCAGGAGCCTCGCTGGCTGCATTGTTTTATATTTAACATTCTATTTTTGTTGTGCGAGCACCTCTTTTAAGTTAACTTGTTTTTGGCTGCCCTGGCATAGCCTTAGGAAGGGGGCGGTACAAAGAAGAGGTGTGAAACCGAGGAGCTGCGTGTCCCTGTGGATTTCCACTGGCGGCTCTAAGGCTGCGACCACCCTGCCCTGTTTGATGGGGGCAAACCCACCCTAATTAAAAGCTGCCTAAAATCGCTGCCCCCCTCGCTCACAGGCTTCCCCTCGGGGCTTCCGGCCCGGCCCTTAGCACCGGGTGGGGGGGGACGGTTCGGGCCCAGCCCGTGGGGGGAAAATCTCGGGGGGGGAA